AATATGAGTATGAGTTTGAGTGTGTTCATGCCTGCATCACGGTGGACCCAACAAGGAAGTGAATCATGTCTGGCGGAAGATGCTACCTTGTGGAGATGTGTTTTCTTCCTTCTCCTGATGTGTCATGCGGCGCTTTGCCGCAACGGCGAACTGAAAAGAGCTTTCAGCTCTATTTGGGTGCCGCAGTTGCTGCTACATTCAACAAGGCGGCATACTGCGTTGTCGCATGAGCGAACGTTTGCGTGTTTGTTAATGTTGCCACGCATCTGGCTCTTGCATTTCCACAGAGCGTGAGGCACGCGCCCAGCCATGCTGCATTTTTCGAGCCCGTTCTGTTCCGGTACGTGTTTTGCGATGATACAGTGTTGCATACGCTGCTAATACTTCTTTGCAGCATGGTGCGCAGCAAGGTAGCTGTGCTTCCGGACGGTCCTCGCTCTCCACGGTTGTGTGGCCATGAGACGCCATCGCAAGGTATCCAGACGACTCCAGCACCGGCTCACAAAAACCTATCCAGCCCACTCCTATGCGGTGTGATATCAAGAAACTGACAAGCTCGCCCCGAAGAAGCTTCAGTGACCTTGAATCCTACCCACGGGTCTGTGTGCCTCGGCATTGGAAGGCTGGGGTGTAAGGCGTAAGGGCTCTACAGCGTCTTTTGCAGCTGTGGTCGTACCAACTGAAGCTCACAGGCGCAAGTTCCCCAACAGGCCTGAGAAAACCCTCCATGGATTCAGCGTTCGTCTCTCGAATCTCGCCCCTTGGATCCGAAGTTCTCTGGCAAACAGCGAATCAAAAAGATCTGGAAATCGAAAGACCAAATCCAGTCGCCTAACACCCAACTCCAACATGCTTTACTTCATACAACACCGGTAGCCAACGCCTACAGACCCCTAAACAGTCATAAGACAGTTGCTTCAAAAGTTAGAATAGGGTGCTATGATATGATAACATAAACCTTAAGGACTTTTCGACCCCGACCCTATAAATATTAGTCTGCCGCTTGCATGTCTCATCCCGACAGCTTGCTGCCTCACAGCCCCGCAGAGTCAGAAACAGCGGCGTGCTGGCACCAGAATGCCAAGACCAGGATTCAAAGCGAAGGACGACCGATCAACAAACTAGTCGAAAACAATAAGAACTAGAATCCGAATAGCGATGTTAGTCCAAGTAGACGTAAATCCCTTCATGCTCATTGATAGTACCTTACTAGTAGCGCTGCTTTGAGGCTTGAGGGGGTGGCTGGGCCTTGGAGATGTGGGTCGGGAACTTCAGGATATGGGCTTTCCAAGTTCCACAAGTTTGCTCAGTCTTGATTTTGGAGACCATTGTGGCCTTCAGGGATTCGGCTGGGAGGGTCTGCAAAAGCAAGTGATGAATCCTGTGTTAGAATTAATACACACAAGACGGGCCTGAATTAGTAGGCAGAACAGGATTTGGGGTGTTCTTCTATCGGGACTACACGGGGATAGCATTGCACGTTGGGCACGTGGACCGCCATGAAAGTTTCTGAGTGCCGGGTGATCATCAGGAGACTCGCCCGAACAAGCTGTTTTGGGGTTGTTTCGGTGCTTAAGCAGTAAGCTCATGAAGGCATGTCTTGGCAGTTCTATCTTGAGTGCATGCCTGCTTCTCTTGTATATTGATGCATTCCCCTTCCCATGATTGTGGGATTCTTGTAGAGTCGCAGGCCTAGTCAAGCACGGCAGTCTCTGGTGCAGCCTGGCTCCAAGCTTCCCTTGAAGGGCCTGCACATCAAAATCGCCCTCATGGCGGCTCGTTGCGACTCCGCGGTGCGACAAGGAGCAAAACCCTCAAAGAGGGGCTCAATCGATTCTTGCGATCCCCGACAATACGAAATTCGAGCTGAGTGCTGAGGTTCGTTGAAGCCGCAGGAGTCGCTAAACCAAGCGGGAATGCTTGGAACCCCGAAATGCTGTAGAGATCAAAGAGCGCCCAAAGGCTTGCGGAACTTAGCTTATGGCTACACCGCTACACCGGTGTTTGCCCAAAACATGACACCGATGTTCAGCAAGTTACACTGCCCAAAAGGCATGTGCAAGTTCCGCAAGCTAAGGCATTCAAGTTCAAGCAGGCCAGTACCTGTGCCTGGCCCAAAAATTGCAGGAAAAACCCTTCAGGGTTGGTTTGTGTCACAAGTTGCCACAGCCGGGACTGCAAACACCTCAACCCGCAGGTGAAGTCATGCTACTCTTGTTTGCACGATCTAGTCAGCAACTGTAAACCGTGGCTCATAGAACTGTTGAGCTGGCATTGGTTCGTCGACCATTCACTGTAGGATACTTTACTATACTTTATTAAACTAGACTGTACTGAAATATACGAAACTATGCAATACAATGCTCTGCTACACTATAAAATACGACGCTGCACTATGCTATACTACAATATACTACAATGTATGTTTTAATCTACGATAATATACTATACTCTACTAGATTGTACTATACTCTGCTATGCTCTGTTATGGCATGCTCTGCTATACGACAACACACTATAATCTACTCTAATATGCTATAATATACTACAATTCCTGCAGCTTTAGAGGTTATAGTACAGTACATTTTTGTATTATCGTATATGATACCAAAATATTCATTAGCTTGGGCTTCTAGACTGCGCTCTGTGTTGAGGTGGCCGAAGCTACTGCCAGCTCTTAGCGGCGGGGCGCATGCCACAGCCAGCCGTGACCAGGCCTCGCATGAGGCGGGCTGGAACGGGATGGAGAAGTCGGTGACGCTGATATATGGGTAGTTCTCTAAATTAGGGCCCCTTTTAGGCCCCAATATAGTACGGCACCCTTATAAAAGGGACCCTAAAAAGGGATCCCCAAATTTAGAGAACCTCCCATATGTGGACACTATATAGGGTTTAACACGCGGGTTCTGTCAGTTTTCCTGTTCACTGGGGGTCCTATCGGGATTATAGATACGCTCGGAAGGACAGGCATCTCCAAACTCCGAAAAAATGAATGCTTGGGTTGATGGCCCAACTTCCAGGTTACAAGCCAGGGGCCGACTTTGGGAACAGGGGGCCGCCGACTTGACCCGAACAGCAAATCTTGGGAACCTCGTGCATGCCGTTACCAGTCAAGCCGCAACACAGCAGGCTTTCGGGTTTGGGTGTTTTGAGGGTTTCGGGTGTACAAAAACCACAACCTAAACGCTACGTAGTTAGGCTCTGTCTATTTCCGGCAGGCTTCTGGACGATAGCACTGGGCCGAGAGGACATCGGCCGAGCAGGCTTCCTTGCGTGTGGCGACGGTTCATGAAAGGAACTACATTAATATGGATAGAAAATGATAACGATAATGAAGCAATAGCAAAAGTAAGCGGCAATAATGATAATAGTAAATGGTACGAGCAAGCCTCAGAGTAGGAGAAAGAGAACCAACAACACTAGTAGTACTAGCAAGAGCAGGAGCAGGAGCAGTAGCAAGCGCAGCGTAGCAGTTTCAGTCATTGTAATACTAACGTAAAATACTAACAGCAGTAGCAGTAGCAGGGGGAGGAGTAGTCCTAGTAGTAGTGACTGCTAGCAGCAGCAGTAGGAGAGCAAAAGGAGCAAAAACAGCAGTACTAGTAGTGGTGCTGGTGCTGGCCGGAACATGAATACCGGCCACTATACAACCGTCTTTGTCTTTGCGGTTGACACTGCCGACAGCATGTGACGTGTCGTGTCTGTTCTGTGCTGTGCCTTCCCCGTCTTTTCTGCATGCCAGCATGTGCGTTGTAAAAACATGACCACATCTGATTACATGTGCTGGCCCACTATAGCTCTGAAGAGTGACCAAGTATACACAAGAGTGCACAGCTCTAGACCACGACAGCGCGAGACATAGTGAATTCACCAGGAACTCAACGATTTTTGTAGGCTTTGCACATCCACGAATGTGATCATCCTAGGAAGATGCGACTCTTTTTACTTCCCACCGATATATTGAACATTGACCTCCCTTCCTTGCAAGCTGAATCGTGCAATGTGTCTCCCTCCGTTGCCGAGTGGCTGTTTCCTGAAGAACTCCTCAAAGTCCGCAAAGGAGACACGTCCTTGTTGGCTCAGAAGATGCTTTTGCTAGCGCCTCGCCTTTTCAAGGCTTGTGGCCGAGACATGCTGAAGCATCGAGCAAAGAGCACCGAGATCCCTGGCCTCGGAAGCCGTAAGCTTTCCAGCCGGAAGAACCACAAACCCTCAATATCTGCCACGGTTCTGCTTCCATACGACATGGCATCAAACAGCTCCTCACGCACAGAATGCCAGGCTTTCAACGTGAACGGAGCTGGGCAGTTGAGGAAGGTTGCGGGTTGCGGTCCCGGAGAAGATTGCACACATTCTGCTAATCACTTCCGCTTCGGAGATGCAGATTGGAACTGGGCTGCTTTTCGTGCCTGCGGCTCTGTATGGGACTTGCGGCTACCCTGAGTGTTGTGATGCCGGTTAGCATGAGGCATCCCTTTCAGAGTGGCCGTCCTGCACGGCAGTGAAAGCCCTCTCCGGGTCTTGGCAGTTGATTCCTGTGGATCAGGTTGCGGTTTCTGTAGTAGCGGAATGGCAATCGCTCATGACTTCCATGAACTGGACAGATGCCAAGCGGATGACATGATTCTCGATGAACTCCATGCAGGAAGTGTGCGCTCTTCGACTCTCCGAAACTTTTGCTGCCACCTTAATCTCAGCAGTTGGCAGCTTGACTAGGCAAGGCGATGCGCTTCAAGTCTACGTGCTTTTGGCTTTACGAGATTCCCCTCAGAAGCAGAGCAACAACGGCCGAAGGGTCTGAACAAATCTCAATCGAACCAGTGCTGGGCTGGGTCCGCTCCACTACGTGATCACAGAACTTTCAGAATCCAATAGCAAAGCTTCAACATCGGCACAGGCGAAACTTGCACGGATGGGCTTGTATCGTGATGACGCACAATTGCCGAACGCAGACCTGTTCCAATCGCAAGCCGATGCATCCTTCAGCAACGGTCCTAATCTTACTGATCCGTGCAAGGGGAACCGAACCAAACAAAGCCCGTAAGAATTCTCATGTTGAACCATGTGCCCCAAACCACCCACCATTGCCGGCCTGGGAAAAGCCTCCGCGCGACCAACGGGGAGGTCTCCACGGCATGGAGCATCGCCAGCTTTGAGATCTCCCCTGTGTGGCCTGGGCTTCAAGAATCAACGACGTGCCCGAGTTGCGCAGGGTTTCCGCATTATATGATGACCCGAATGCTTTTGCTTGGTCTTCCACTGTCTGGGGTCTACAGAGTTCAGCGGGAGAGCTAACTGTTCGCATTTCGTTGGCTGCATTGAGAAGTGCTGTTCTTCTCGATGCTGTCTCATGCCCGTGGTAGACTGAGCATACCACCCTTTGTACCGTAACGTTTAGACGTATCAGCAGCAAGGAGCTCAGACTTGGCATCATCATCATCATCCTCCTCCTCGCCGTCGTCGTCGTCGTCATCAACATGATCGCTGCCATGAAACTTGGATCAGTCACAATCGACCTGGTCATCGCAGCTGCAAGCATCATATTGACAGGGGGTTGCCCAGAACACAAAGCGTATCAGGCACTTTGATGACGTCAGCCAGACTTGTCAGGTTCCTGCTTACCGCATCATTCATCAATTCACCTTGTAAGATCAAAGAACAAAAACCTTTACTACTACTTCGACACGCCGCCTGCTACGACAACGACAGCTTCAACGACCGGCGACGCTGCTGCTGCTGCTGCTGCTGCTGCGGCGGCCGGCAACAATGAGGGTGCCAGAACAACACTCAGCACAACAGTAGTTGTACTGTGAGCAGTAAAACCGGCAACTATCAGCAGAGCAATTGGAAGAACATTAACATGAACATGCGTACACAGAAATACCTTCAGAATGAACAAGGCAGATAAACGCACCCCTGGACAACGCTAGTATAACGGTCGTGATAACAAGATTGCCAACGTCACCACTGTATGCAAGTACAAGAACAGTAGACTCTTAGTAGTCACTAGCCGGATCAATGGCAATCGCAAGCCATTATTGAAGGGAGAGGGTAAGCGTGATGACAGCAACACGCGGAGTAAAATGCGGCATTCACCGTTCGTTTGGCCCGTAGGGTCTGCCTGCATCGATCATATTGAAGACGTCTTGAAGGTCACGAGGGCCGTTGTCCTAGCACAAGGTTTGCGCGTCTGAGGCTTAGAAGTTCGAGACTTCTTTCAAAGTCAAAGGGGGTACATCCTCAGGATCCGGGCTCCAGAAATATGAAAGTCTCCACATCCGAAGCAGCCGACCACGGGCTTAGCCAGCTCCATCCACTGCATCCCCGTCCTTAGGTGCCTGTGCTTGTTGCCAGTATAGCGCAAAGGTGGCATAGGAGATCCCTTGCCAAAACGGGTAGAACCGGAGGAATGGGCGAATCCTAGAGGAAGGGTTTGGGCCGGGGAGCGAGATCCAGACTATTCCTTTGTTGTCTCAGGTTGCTGAGGGCTTGGCAAATGTCAAAGATCTTATCGAATGCAGTTAGGGGCCTTCGTTGCAAAGTGCTTCGACTCGAGAAGCAACGCGCTCGGCCACGATCTCGGACATCAACTCTTCGCACAAACCCCAAGAGAAATCCGACGTCTTCAAAACCTCAAGACACTGAAACCTCTTCAGCTCGGGCCTCAGACCTCAAACTGGAACCCCTTAACCCCTATACCCTTTGAGCTGCAGTCCGAACTGCTTTCTTGGCCACCTGAGATTTTGTGATAGAGGCGATCGACCTCGTCAAACCTTGGGTGTGCTCTGAGAACATATATCTGCATACACGTATTGACCCACATGTATAGATGTTGTATATATTTCATATGTTCTATATAAGAGCCATTTGAAAGTCATGTAACTAGAGAATAAAACATAAACACACATAACAAAACAGCAATGTGAATGTACAAGCAAATAGCAATTAAAGACATTAGAAACACAGGTAGGTAAACACATGGAAACACACATGATCATATGAAATATATATATATATATAGATAGATAGATAGATGTATGTATATGTATGTATAAATATAAGTATAAATAAATATAAATATAATGAATTGCGTGTGTAGGCCTATCTACCTAAGCATCTATCTATCTGTCGGTCTTCCTACCTATTTATCTATTGGGGGAGGTCGAGGTCCTACTTTCGAGACTTATCGAAACCGGAGCAGCGCAAGTGCTTAAGCCTCCGCAATCCCCCAAACGAGGTAAGAGAGCTCTGGTTCCCAAACCAACAGGTGGCCAGCCACGTGTCTGGGCATTTCATGACGATGCTGGGATCTCGACCTCGGGCACGGACATTCCAGATCAAAGGGGAAAGCACTTTCAGAGTTGGGCTGTGATGCTTCGTTAAGTTACGGGCTCCCAGAGACAGGCAACCTCCAGGAGCACTCATCGCAAAATTCCAAGATATCAAAGCAAGAACTCGAATCCTCAAATGAATCATTTAGGCAAACCGTGTGACGGAGCTCAAGACCGCTCTAACCGTTAAGTTTGCAAGTTCGCAAACTCTTTCAATACATGGGCCCTCCCAACATCAAAACCGGAAACCACGCTTGATTTCATGGGAAGTTGAAGTCCGATGCAAACAAGACGGACCTAGTTGTTTACAATGTTTGTGATGATGACCATGACGATAGTGGCGGTGCAATGATGCCGGTGGTGCTGACGGTGAAGGTAGTTCTTGTTCCGCAGGTTGCCGCTTGTTTGACGGACAACTTGACGCTATATAAATAGAAACGCAAGCTTACGTCAAAGGCTTCGAGGTTGCTGGGGTCGATGACGCCTTCAGAGCAAGATAATTCTTTGGGACATTTTTTGCCTCTCTCTTTCTCTTTTCCTCATGGTGGTTGACCTTTCCGGTCAATGTCAACCCATTGCGGGACAGTGCTACCTCCCCCCCTCCCCCCGGTGGACATTCCGCGATGCGGCCGACATCGGCACTATCTGACAGGAGAGGAATTGATTAAAGCATATCGAGCACACCTTCCGCAACACTGACCAGAAACACGTCTTGCTGAGCTCGCTCCAGAGAAAAACCCGGTTCAACTTCGACATTGGAAGCCGGACTCCCGAGTCATACCGACTCTCATAACTCGAACGCCCGAGCTCTCTGGGCCAAGATGCCCGGCAGCAACGTCCGCGCAATCTCCTCGCTCTTCTGAACCTGAGCTGTGGGAGTCGATCTTTTGCGCAACCTCCGGGCCTGCATCTGCAAAAAAAGGGTCGGAGCTGTCCAGTGCTTTCCCTGCTTTGGTTGGATGTGTTTTGGTTGCGGCTCGGTGATCGCATCTCTCAGCGGGGCCAGGAACGAACTCAGGCGGAACTCATTTTGAGATAGGCTTGCAGTTGCAAAGTTGGCATGCAAAGAGCCAAACTGCTGGCCCATTATCCAAGCTTTCACAGGGTCAGCAATGCCAGCACTAGGAAACTCTAGAAACAACAGTGCAGCCACCTGCTTCGAGCCAAAACTTCGACGCCCAACGAAGACTTGGCCGAACCCTCAAAAAGCAAGCAGCAGCGCGGAAGAGCTCCCACTTGGAGATGCGGCCATCCTTGTCCTGTCGCATTTTGCGGCAAAGTCCCGAATTCAGGCGATCGTTCTGGGTAACCGAGTGCAGAGCCGAGCCTCGTGCCCAGAACTACCGTGAGGTCAAAGCTTCCGGATTTCGGGATTCGGGATAAGTCGTACAACGGCGAAGCCCTGAACCCCCACCCCTGTCAGGCCAAGAGGCCTGGTCAATGCTCTCGCAAAGAATGCGCAGTTCCTCGTCCAAGCGCTCCGTGTAGGAGTCCCTGACACTTTTCGTGGGTGAGGGGCTCGGATCCATTGGGTTCGGGAGCATTGGAGTCATTGAAATTCAAAGTCTCGGTGGGTTTTTCAGGGAAAGGAGGCCGTCTTATTCTTTTCGTCACCCTCGGCTAAGTTGGGTGGGGTGCCGCTGGTGCCCCGGCCGACTGTGCGCAGCGCCGGGATTTAAGGATTTAAGGCTGTGGTTGATTACCACGAGAGTTTCGTTGCTTTACATTTAAGATATTTAAGCTCCAACCCGTGAATATGAATGGGAAATGGGAAACTAGGATGGGAATGAGTTTAAACATCAAGAACATGTTGGCCATATATGCCAGCTCCTGTTTACGGGCTTAAACAGGTCAAAAGATGACTTGATCGGCGGGCCTGCTCAGCGCGCGGCCGTACGGGGAAGCTTCCTCCAAGGTAACACGGCTCCAAACATATCCGTGCCAGAACTCCGCTTGCAAGGCCACCTGTGGCATTGGGCATGCTGCCTTTTTCAAACTATGGTACTGTACAAACCACTGGGTCCGTGCTGGCAGTGCTCGCTGTGGAATCCATCCGGATAGGCATACGCCTCATTTTCCTTGTTCGGACTGTGGGCATGCTTATCGGGGAAACAAGCCGCAGTTCACAGCGTCAACAGTACACAGGTGATCCTCATGGTGGAATCTATGGCGAAGCAAACTGAGCTCGTGACGACATGCCGCTCAAGGATGTCAACGAAGGAACTTTGTGTACCTTGGCATTTCGCCATACGGTGCCCATTATCCCCATTATCTGGTATATTTACCTTCTTATGGTTGCAAACACTTTCAGTACGGTGAGTGCGTCATTGCCTATTGATGTTGGCTTCAACCTGCTGCTGAATCAGCACGGTGCAACGAGATACGCTCCTTTACCGGCTGCATGTGAAATCCTGATATTCAGAAGGGGAGTGCGGACAAGGGTATGCCCATCGTGTTTCACATGCCACCGAGCTACATCGCCTGGTTGTCTCCGACCAGCAAGCAACTTAGTCTCCAGGGGTTGGCCATCTTCTAACATCTTCGAACTTGGTATTGAATGAAAAATAACATGAGCAAGACATCCAAGACAACGGCGCTGCCACAGTTCTTTGCCAATTACAGATGCATCGATGCAAAAGAAGCTGTCGTTGCGTGAGCGGTCCGGATCGCAAATTCAAGCTGGCAACGGGCGGAACAACCTGCTGGGGTCAGGCTGCTTCTGTGCAGCATAGGAGCCGTTGGCGTTCCGGTCGGAACGCATACGGAATGAGGGCTGTAAAGAGGCACCTCAAAACACCAATCTGAAACCACCGAGAACAACGGGAAAAACTCAACGTGCTGTTAGGTATCATGACACCGTATGATATCTTGATGCATTTCAAGGTCGATGGTGTGTTCGACCTCTGGGCAGCGTGCAGACATTCACCAGCGTTTGGGCGAAAGCCAAGGTGCCGAAACATGTCCGCTGGAACGGGAAGTGTAGAGCGCCTTGCTTACACGTCGCCCAACTTGAGCAACACCGAGCACTCACTGTCCCAAGAAAAAGGCAATTACTGAAACGTGTTCGCATGTCAGCGAGCCCTGATATTGCAGCTTTGATGCTGGGCTCAAGGATCTCGGTGAGCGCGACGCGGCATTGTGCGATCTGACCTTGGTGTCTCTGCTCCAAAAAAAGCTTCCCCCGAAACTTGGATGCTCAGGCAACATAGAGGAAGTGGGGTGTAAGGTCCCGGCGTGTGGAATCTGCAAAGGAGGAGTGATTCTCGCCGCAAACGAAATCGCCATGGTGGAAATGACCACAACTTGCAACTTTTTTTCGAAAGGATATCTCAAGTCCAGCTGGTAAAGGCTAGTGGTTGCGTAGCCGGTCCTGTGAGCCCACAGCAACTTGACCCGGTGCATTTCCGGGCGTCCGCTCACACACACACACACATGCACGGCAGCAACAAGACACAACAAGACACAAGCACCCACCCACACACCACCCACACCCACATGCACAACGAGACGCAGAGACACAAATAACGGGACCAACAACAGTGACATGCTCCCCACCAACATGCGCAGGTGTGCATACATGTACATACTTTCCAGAACAACATGCGACATTGCTGCGGAAGTCGCAGTTTTTGCATTTAATGCTGATCGCACACGCTTGTATCTGTTCGTTCTGCTGCCTCTTGCACCAGAAGATAAAAGGTGAGGCCTCAACAAACTCCTGGACAACTTTCCCAGTGCCTTGTAGACATTGTAGACATTCTGCATCATGCTACAGAACTGGTTAAAGCCAGATGGGAAAGTTTTCCAGGGCAACAAATTTGCAAAGCCGTGGGCCGTGGCGAAGCTAACTAAGTGCCAAGCACGGGAAAAAAGAAGAAACAGCTTCACCAAACCCCCAAATTACGACACTGTGCCACAAGTCTTCGATCCATTGCTTCTCGTGCCTGGCTTGAAACGAATAGGTGCATATGGACAGGGCTTGCGCCTGATCACCTTGTGATCAAAGCTTGCTGGCTGGAGCAGTGTTTCGGAGCAACATCCTCAGCGGAAGAATGCGGCTCGCTGACGTGTCGACGCTCGCAATCTCTGCGCTCTTTTCTATGATGCAGCAGCAGCACCCCCCCCCCCCCCCCCCCCCGCCCCCCTGTATGGACCCTCATATTTCGCAACCCAACAAAGCGCAACCCACTGCAAATACACCCAAGAACATTGTAGCCTGATAACAAGCGCACAAAACAGGCGACCCATATGCCACAACAAAAGCTCGGCTGTTTAGCTGGTCGTCAACACACCTTTTCTGAGCTCCCCACGCAGAACACGTCTTGTCATCGCCGCCCATGTTGACACAAAGGCCGAGATTGGGCTGCGACTTCATCCTCGCGTGGAAAGCGCAGCCACTCCAAGCACATCTGTAGCTTTCTAAATTAAGGCCTCTTTTGGGTTCCTTTTTATAAGGGTGCCGTACTACATTGGGGACCCTAAAAGGGACCCTAATTTAGAGAACTACCCACATAACACCGTGAAAGCTATGTGCAAACACCATCAAGGTGATGGAGGGGCCGAAACAAAGGCTTGCAGGATTCGTCAACTTTGCTTGGATTCTGAGCCCAACCACATCTTCTGGAAATGCAGGGAGTCACACTACATGTTGGCTAGCTGGTGCTTGCGCTCTTCGGCTACATTCATCAACTCAGATTGACAGGGTTGATAGAAGCTCTTCGAAATTAAGGATACCATTTCTTCCGGAACTCACTGAAACTCATTAACCCTAAACCCTAAACCCACTGTAACAAGCAGCCAGGCCGTCCATGGGAAACCCTGTTGCAGCTGAGGAGCTGGTACTCCCCACACCGACCTTTCATCTGTCTGTAGATTTCCAGGACCTGCCTGAAAAAATCTGCGACTGCTGCGAGAGCTTGAGGTTTTTTTTTGCGAGTCGGTACGGGGTTTGTAGTAAGTTTTTTACTGTATCGATGCCATGGCTGGCCTCAGGGAAAACCTCTTCAGCAAAATCGAAAGCTTCAACACTCCGACAAACAACCTCCATCTGGATCAAATATCCCACATTGCCAAAGCTTCACAGCCCTCATCGCTGAGCTTTTGCCGAGTTTCTTGACGCCGGTTGCACCGACTGGGTGGCCAAAGGATATCAGGCCACCACCTGCTCAGAGTTTAGGGTTCATCCGACCGCTCAACTGGAATTATAGAGTTGAGGGATGTTGAGGGCATGTCGGTGTTCCAGCAGCATGCGCTGCTGGCTTTGAGATGAAACTGTTGAACAGAAACGCACCGATTCCAAACCGGCCGAGGGGACATGGAACATAATGAGTTGAATAAGACAGACTTCAGCGACTTCAGCATTGAACACGACATGCTCCTGCCGAGCATCAGCTTGGAGATTGCCACATGCCACGTGTGAAACCGTACCGAATGCCCACGTAGATGTGAAAAGCTGGAATCAAAAACTCGAGCTAGGATTTGCTTGGAGCAAGCGACCCTTGCTGGTGCATGTACACCATCGACATGAAGGGTAGTCCGCAATCGTTGCAGTGCCTGCACCAGCCACCCCGAATCCTTGTTCAGTGCCCGGCCTGTGTTCACTGGGATCTTGCCCTCCAAGGACGTTGCGCCAGATTTCACCAACTCAGTGCCTGCTCAATGCATTTCGGTAATTTAGCTGGGCAATTCTGGAGAATTGGGCTTCCGAGACTATGGGTCCTTTAATATGGGTGGTGCAGGGGCTGTGCAGCACCAGTCAACCGCAGTTGCCACAACAACTGGGCACAAGTTACGCCGAAAGCGCTATCTCCAGTATCTCATCATCCATAGCCTTACCTACGGAAATGCGTTGAACAACTCTGCATGACAAGGGTTCCCTGAATTCAGCTTGGAATCCATGTGGTGCTTCGGCCTTCTCCAAGCTCCCTCAAGAAAAAGTGGGTAGCAGCAGCTTTGATGATGGACGCTTGCAACATTCTTTTGCTGTTTTCAACTTCTGGCAGAAATTTGTGACATCATTTCCTCTCTTTGCGGCCTTTTCCAGGAGCAGCCAACCCGATCGCCTCGTACATGAGAATCTCAGCGATGGCCTGGTGACAGCTACAAGGGAGATCCGAAACGCGAGACCCTAAAACCTCTATGTGAGATCCCCAAAGCAGACGGGTGCAAGAATCCAGGTGTGCATCCTGAGTCCCAGTGAGCTGTCACTTCGTAAAACCAACCTATCTTTCAACAGGAAGAAACCCTCAAAATCCCAGGTGATTTGAACGAGTTTGTAAACTGAACAGCGAACACTCTCCTGGCAGTACCGTTCGTTTAGTGCATCCCTGATGACATCCGGGGCAAGCCGTCAAGAAAGCATAACAAAGCCGGAGGCTCGAAGCAATCATGGACTTCTGCCACATCCAAGTCCGAAGGCTTCACGCCAGCGCTGGCCAACATCCGTGACACTACCTGTGAAGGGTTTCCATGACCTTTGGGTTCGAAGCAGCTACGCTTTGCTGGGCCTAGCCTCACCCGGAGAGGGGCTCTGCGTCTTATCTAGGAATCAAGTAAAACTCGAACATATTCGAACGCCAGCTAAGGGTCGAACACTGCGACGCTTTTAGTCGATCTTTCGGAAAATAACAGCTTTGCATGGCATCTGCAAGATTACATGTTGCTTGGGCCTGAAAACACGAAATAACGCTACTGGACAAGATGCAACTCCGGTGAGAAGCCAGGCCAAGCGGCAGCTCTCGTGGTGTCCATAACGGCTAAGTCCTCCGGGTCGGACCACAAATCTCCTCCCACAGCGCTCTGCTTCACGCGGGATGGGGAGAATTCCAGGATCAAACAAGGATGATGTGGACGGCAGAGTTAGTTGTACGGCACATATGCCGAAGGCATTCCAAGGCTCAGAACTGGGGGGCAATTGATACGTGCCTCCTGCGATTGACCCAAACTTGGGCTGTCATCTATCGACAGAATGCGTCTTTGATTCGAGCATCGCGGTGCTAGTGACTAGTGTTGCGAAATCAGCCCAATTCTCACCGACTGATGTCTTCCTGCCTGTAGCTGGTGTCAAACTTGAACCCTTCTTTCGACACACTCAGTTCAGAAGGATGTAGGTGGTCCCAACTGGATGCGCAAACCCTTTCGCGAACAGTGCCACGGAAACGCAGGCCAGCGCCTGCACCATAGTCAGTCGCAACAATCTCCACCGCCTGATGCTTGCTGAGGCCACACTTCTGGAGGCCCTGGCGGCGGCTTCCGAAGTCGACTGCTTCGGGAAGTCGTTTGGACTCTCCGACGAAACAAAACGAGAGCACCTATGTTCCACTCACATAAGTACACTCAAATGGTACTTGCATCGAAAAATCACCGAACTTAACGCAAGACTTTGAAGCGATTTTTTCACTACACTTTTCATTCGATACATCCTCTCGGTCTGTGCTTCTCTTTCCTCCCTCCCGTTCCAGTCTTTCAACCCACCGTACAAAAACGTTTGCGCATGTCTGCACGAAATTGCTCGACCCTCCATCCACGCCTCCTCGGACACGAAGATGGCTGCAGCACCTCACACGATAAATCACAGGTGTATGATAGGCCATCAAGCAACGCATGGTCACCGTTGCTAAATCGTATCCAGGTGCCGCCATCGGAGACTTGCGAACAGTGCGTCGCTCGCACGAAGGGCCTTGGCAACACTCACAAAAGCACAACATCATTCCCGCTACAAAACTGAAGCCAGTCTATGACCATATCGCATATGCCATGTCCGGCAATTGAGCTTTAGAAGGCAAGCCATCAAACACATTATGAAACCCACCTGAAAAAACCTGTTGAGAATGGCTGCAAGCTGCTTGAGCTCTTCATTTTTGAGGAACTCAGGGCCGGCCACCGCTTTCTCTAAAGGCAGCTGGACCTGCAATTCGGCAGCGAACTCAGACTACCAGCGAAGCAAACCTGCGGGTCTTATGATAGGGTTTGGAGCAATATTTTCAATGGCTCGTGTCAAATGGCACCCATAGCTCATTCTGTTCATCCCTGCGGCCACTACGATTTTTGGCCGCCCTAANNCCCCCCCCCCCCCCCCCTCCCCGGCCGATTCGCATCCAGCCATGCTATCACTTCTGGTAGTGTGACAAACCACACAACAGCCAGTAGTTTCGGATCTTTGCTTGGCCAAGGAGCTGTGTGCATGTGCGCCAATGGATTTTTGTTTCCTCAGAGGGGTAGCTTTGAAATGGATAGGATCAAAATCGAACGACGGCGATAGCTAGCCCAAATAGGAGATGACAGGAGTGTGGCAACCAGAACACCAATCAGCCATACTACGGCATTCTTTCGCTGCGACTCCTGGCGCACTCTCTTCCTTACAAGGGCCATATTGAAGCCCAAGCCATGACAGGTTAGCGTCCGTTGGAGTAGGCCTTCACACCCACCGTGGCTAGGTCAGCCATCTTCACCTCCTGAGCTCAGTCTTTGCAAACATGATAGAGCTTCGGCCTGATGGAGAAGCCCTGACCACACATGATTTCTACCCTTTCTGCAGGGCAGCGGCAGGATACTTCTCCAAATAAGCTTTGGCCCGTCTGGCGAAAAGCGCAGGGAAAGTGAAGTCGTCTATACCTTGCGAGCAGCAACCATTTCCCAAACCTCCGCGAAATACATCGGATCTTCAGTCTCAAGGCACACAAAGCCAAGTGAGACCTTGCCGAATTAAAACTTGTGGCCCTGAACTCGTCGATCAGGGAGCAGCAGCTCTTTCTTGTGGAGGAGCAAGGGGAGACGCCCAAGACCCTTTGAAGAGACCCTGCCCGCACCTAGAGTCGTCGTCGTACCCCAGTCTCAGTAGTAGCGTGCCATTGTTTAGAAATGTTTAGGAGAGTCGCCTTCTTGCAGCACAGACTGAAGTCTGAAAATATCCTACTTCCTGCGAAGACTTGCAAAGCCCACATATCCGAAATGCATTCACCCCTATTCAAGCAGCGTCCACGTCTGATCCGGTAGGCCCCTGAGCCAAATCTCAACCTCTAAATCTAAACGGCAGAATGTCCCCCATCTAGCTGCTGCAAAGGACCTGATTGACGCTTAAAGTCGGCCGCCCGAGCCAGATAGGTACCACCAGTCCGGGAATCTGCCTGCTTGCACGTAGGGTTCCGGGCTTTCGGGTATGCGCTCGGGACTTCGAACTTTTAGGTCGTAACAACTTCTGACAAAACGAGGGCACAACATTAATGTCGGGCTGTGCCAATGCGAGGCTGCGGCTTTTCTGGTGCGGGCCTCGCACCGTATTTACTGTAGCTTCTGCAAGTGCAGGTCTGGAATTGTCGGAGTCAAGCCCATCTGGATTTCACGGCCTCTGTCTGCACCTCTACGCCCACGGCCAGGACGATGTCATCCCCCGCGCAAACCGCGCCTTGGTATGCTCGTTTGCACGCTCGGACTGCTCGGATCCTCAGGATCATCTCGTGATATCTCCTGCATGAAACGGGAGATTCGAGACGTTCTTCCGAGACGCTTTCGGCTTCACTGGAAACAACGATTCCTATATTACCACGGGGCCGTTTCGGCCATGGCCGCAATTCACTCACAAAAAACAGCTTCCGCCCGACTGGAAGGTTGCATGAGCTGTGACATGAAACCTGCTGCACTGCTGGATGCTGCTTGTGAGATCCATGCCGATGAACAACAGCGGTCTCTATCCTCGATTGGAGAATGCCGAGCGTGAAGAGATGCGCCCTGAGCGTGCAAGTCCTCTCATATCTTCCGATGCTGCACCAGAACCCGAGAACCCCATGCCCAAAACAGAAATCCCACGCCACTGGGAAGTACAAACTCGCATGCTGCCAGCAGCACGTACAGCTTCGGCACAGGCCAGGCCTGAAAATCACTGTGGAGGTCAACGCGAACTCTTTCTTCTGAGTGATGGGGCATCATCAGTACTACCATGTGGAAGAACATCGGTCTTTCTTGCGACATTGCAAGCTCAGCCGAGAGCAAGGATTTTCAAGGCAATTGTCTGTGAGAGTCCTGAGTCAATCCCTTCTTGCCGTTGTATCTTGGCACTGGCGCTTAATCTGGGCCAGCTTGTCGTCTGCATGCTGCATCTCCGAAGTTCGAAGCCACGTCTGCAGGTAAAAAACAGCCCGAGCCACGACACCAACCAAAAGCCTTAGCCATCTCTGATCGACCGGACGCAGCGCACGTCAGTCGCAGAACTGCATCCTCGCAACACCACCCGGCCTCCAGAGGCACAAGCAGCCTGCCAAAGCAAAGGTCAATATACTATCAAAGACTATAAGACTCCACAATAATACACATTAGCTATACTATAAGCATAGTACAAATATGATGTAGCTCTCAAGGCCGTGGCTGTGTCTTGGAGCTCGCATCGTGCGTAGTTTCTGCCACTCAAAGTGCAGATGGTTCCACATTTGCAAAGAAAAGGGATGGCAGCCCGAAGGTGCGTTTGACATGGAGCGATCTTGCAGTCGTCACGATGGGCCTGTAACATGGCCCCAGTGTTTTCCATCTTGCTCCTTCACAGCCAGCTCGTCTTCCCTGGCCTCCTTACCCCCGGAACCTGAATAAACACGGTCTTTCATTCTCGTCACCGACTCCAGGATATCGAGGTGCTATCATATTCATGTATGTCGTCATGGTAGAGCGGAAATAGTTGAGAGTTCTGGCAACCTACTCCTGGCAACCTACTCATGGAAACACTTAACGAGGAGTCAGGTAGTCGTTGCAGGCGCTCACTCAAGCCAAATAGTGACAAGACTGTGACAAGGGTCTGGTAAGTAAGCATAACGACAGCATTACCTGACATTCATTCTGCTCATGCCCGTCCTAACTTAGCCTCATCACCATTTCCGTCCTCCCTCCGTGCTTTTCCTGCTCATCTCTGCTCTCTGCTCCCCTCACGCTCGGCGGTGGGGGCCTCTACTCGCATGGAGGGCCGGTGCAGCAGCGCCGGGTGTGCAGCCGCTACAGCGGCGCCCAGGTGACCCTGGCTGTTGAAGAGCTCACCTGTAAGTCAAAGAGTCAGAGTCTTCACATCCCTCTTCAAGGCTTAGCACATGTAGCCAGGTGCACTGCAGCTTTCTATTCGGGCGACCTGCCATCCCTCATGGCGCACATGCATAGGCCCTGAGACCCGAAGCCGTGCCTGGCCTGCAAAATTTCCAACCTTGGTTTGGGTCTGCGGTAGTGGGCAGTCGTATGCATGTTGTGTGCGTGGAGCAAGGGGCACCTCTGTCGATTGAGCAACATGCGCTGGAGGCTAAAGACTTACAGCCCAAACTCCTAGACCGACGAATTTCGGGAGGCTGAGGGCAGCGATCCTGGTTGCAGCTGCGCGCATTCCTGTGTTAGTGGTCTCCAGGTCTCGAAAGCCGGGAGGCCGTGACGCCTACTGAGGCTCAAGCATAAATCCGGTCGATCGCTTCGGGCTTGGCACCAGTTTCCCGGAATGCGCCCTGGATGGACTCAGCAAAATACCTTGGATGGGGGTTAGCATGCCGAAGGGCGAGGGCTCATTCTTTACCGTGCTTGCTGAAGCCTCAGGCTGACTAGCGGTGGTTTCGGTTCGATAGCTGGTTGAACCAGCGGCTTTCGGGAGTGCTGCTTCTTGATGGGTGGCGGCGGGGCCTCTCCAGCCTGGTGGGGTGCAGCCACTGAATAAAGCCAAGTTGCTCTTTGAGGCCTTTGAGACCTTTCTGGAAATTCGGGCTTCCTGGCGAAGCGAGAGGCGGGTTTCGGACCTTTGGACCTCTTTGCTGGATTTTTCGCCGCAGCCAAAACCTCGGTAGCACCTTCAAGCTCCCCAACCCGGTTGAACCAAGCAGGCATGTGCGGGCGGGTGCCTTTTCCCACGAAGGGTGTCACATGACCACCAGCCAAATACCTGTGACGTGGAGACTTCAACCGAAGCTGGCAAGTCTGCTTGGAGTGAGGGCTGAATCGGACGAGTTAACGCACAAGACATGCCCAGCGTCTGCAACAGTGAACACACAGCACTGCCGTTGCTTGTCCAACTCTGATTCGAGCTCTCGTAACACTTCCGGGGCAGAAAGCTGGTAACACAAACACACGCTCTTCCGTAATGTGGGCTCGGAAGGCCTGACCCGAAAGCCTACATCGACCAAAGCATCCGGGGCACACTTTCCGGAGCATTGCTGCCAGCCTGCGATCGTGAAAGCAACTGCTCATCTGCCAATATGTTTGACGGACAGGAGTCGGGTGCTGGGAGATGAGCATAGTTGTCTGATGTTCCAGATGCATCCACAGTTCCTGGCTCAACTAAAAACGACGCGCGGCAAGCAGCTCATCCATGCTCAATCAGGGTGCAGGGTTGGATGTTCTCCGAAAGCTTCACAATTCGTCGCCGGTGCAGACAGGGAGCCTGCTTGTGAGGAGGGGTTGAAATCCGCTGCAGCAAAGCGGCTGGTGTCTTGAGCACAACACAAATCAGTAGGCGGTCTGTCGTAGCACTTGCCACGGCCAAGCGAGTGCGTCGAGCGGTTCGGACTTCAGAGATATCTTGCTGTGCCCGACCAGAGGAAGCATTTTTCAAAGTGCCACGCTTCTTCACAAATTCAGCCGAGTACGAGGATCATGTGGAAGGAATTCGCTCCCCGAGACTGATGCCGCTTCTGGCATGCCGATGGGGACGAACTAGTTACTACGGTGAAACCGGCAGGGCTCAAACAGGCCATTACAGCAGGAAATAATGTCAGGGAAACGACAAACAGAAACCTGGTCCTTGCTACTGTCACACCTGATATGCATGCGCAAGCGCCTAACCCCATTCGTACTTTTTTCAACATGGGAAAACCTGCAACAGCAACCAGCTTTACCCCTCTGCACAGTAGTCTCTGCTTTTGTTGGAGTTAGCGACTGGGTTGAGCCAGGCCTTTTGTGGCGCGATCTGCTTCGATGCTGCCCAGGTATAAACAATTCCTAAATCCACCAGCCCGATTCGGAAGACCTATGTGCATGCTGGCAGTCTTGCTTGCAAATACCAAGTACCAAAGCGTGCAAGCAAACAACGGAGCTCCTTGTGGAATTTAGGTGTGTGCTTGCTGTGGCTTTGAATTCTGGCCAGCTGGGCTTTTTTACTTCGCAAACGGACAAGTGCCTCTTGAGAGTGTGCCCCCGGGATGATGATTGCGATCAAAGCCACGGACCGCACTGCGCGGACGATTGGCTTGGCCAAGCTAATTGCGCGGCTTGAGTTGGAAGGCAAACTGCAGATCACCTGATGTGCTTTGGGAGTCATATGCTTCTCCACAATATTGCTCAAACCAACTCGCAGAGTGGCAAAGACGATGACAGCTAGATTTCTGGGGAGCCAAGCGAACTCTTGAGTGGGCTTGTGCCCTCGTCCTACATGCATGCTCTCGTGCGGTGAGCTGGGGCATAGCTAGTTTCCATCGTCGTCTGCCCTCTGCCTAGGCAGGTCATGCGTGAATTGATCATGCCTTGCACTGACAGCAATAGCATTGCACTGAGCACGTGAGCTGTTGCCCTCTTCGGTCCAAACTAATCCCGGCTTCAAGTCGAGGTGGCATTCTAGAAATCCTTGCGCTTACGGTCGGTAACGAGCCAACTTTACATCCATCCGTTTGGAGCTGCGAGGGGCAAAGTCTGCAGTGCTTGCAGCAGTGCCACGCACTACTGTGCTGAAGGCCAAGCTACAGAAAGCTAACTAGCAAAGGAAAGGCCAGCCAAACCTCCCTGAAACCAAACGAACCATATCAAGTTCTTCCAGGCCAAGTCCGATACCAGTCGGAAGCGTTGAAATCAGATAACATGGCATCGGAAAGATGATCCGGATGAAACAGTTCAGTACTGAGGACAGCTGGATTCTGCGATGATTTGCAGAAGCACAACACGCTATTGAGTTAATTCTTGCAAGATCAGAGCCACTTTACCGCCAGAAGTTTGGTTCGTTGCTTCTCCTACTCGGCCTGCAGGTACGCATCCCAAACAACCCCACAAAACCATTAGCTTGTAATAGCACATCTTTCCGAGATCCGGAGGTCTCCGGACAAAAAAGGCCACGAATTCGACAGTCCAGCAGGCATCTACGCAAAGCCAGGGATACTGCGGCTCGATATGTCGTGAAGAGCCAGAAAATCCCTCATGCCCCTTCACATGTCTGTTCAGGCCTGCCGCAGCATCCCTGCGATGCACTTCACCAGCCGTAAGTTGGCTCGCTCTCTGCAGTCCTCAGCACGGCAGAATCTTTCTAAACATATCAGAAGCTGACACACTACTCGATTTCCGTCGTCGAGCTTGCTAGTCTGCTAGTCTGTATTGCTTCAGCTTTGTACATCCTCCGCTTAGAGTTCGAGCAGCCCTGGCATCACTTGTCATAACGGGAAACGGTTCGTGCTTGCACTTCAACCGAGTGTCCGTCCGAAAGACACCAGGCAAAGTGACACCAACAAGCCACGTGCCCTGAAATTGCGGTCGCTAACAGCCTGTCCAGCACACGGAAGTCGCCTTCTCGGCTGCCCTCTCGTTCTCCTTTAGTCCCCGCCCTAGTTCTCCGAACCCGCTTCAAAATCTTGACAGCTGATATCAGCTGATGCCCTCTCTGTGCTTGACGAAGCCTTAGCTCGCGGCCCAAAGCTTCGGTTCATGGCCGCTCGCCGGATTTTCTGTCGTCGCTTCTTCTCCTCAGGTTTCTGCGGTGGGTTGCCGTGGTGGTAACGGCACCATCGGCCGCAAAGGCCAGTCCAAACCACCGCTACACTGCCGCCGCCCCTGTCATCCCACTACGACCAGCTGAGGAAGAACATCAAGAGTGCTAAGGCTGTCTCAGGGTTGATTGAGTTGTTCGAAGACTGGGGATTGTGTCTCCGCTGCTGGGTGGAGTAGCTGAGAAGCATCAGGCCCGCGGACAAAACCTCCAAGGGCCAATATTCCCTGTCACAGAACCAAACACAAAAGCATCTTCTGCAATCAGCTCCATCCTGCCCAATCTCTTGTCTTGCTTGCCTGATCCCCACAACGCCGCAGCAGCAGCAACAGCAGCAGCAATAACAATAAGACGAACAACACCAAGAACAGCGAACAATCACGAGCACAATATTAAGAACAAAAGCAAGAACCACCAACATCGCCGCCGCCGCCGCTACCACCATCGCCACCACCACAACAACCACACATAACCACAACCACAACAACAACGACGGCAACAACGACGACGACAACCACCCTCCACAACCACAACCCACGCTGGACCTCGGTTCCACCACAGGAGCAGCGCATAGCAGCGCGGACATCCAAACCAACGGTTGCACTGCTTTTTACATCAACTCCACGTTTTGTTTGTCCCACTGCCGCACCTCCGAAGCCTGCACAACAAGGCAGCAGTAACCAAGCAAGAAGCAGCAACAACAACCACAACAACAATCACAGGAACAACAGTATTAACTAGCGCAGTGCATAGCACTAGCAACAGCAGCAGCAACGTGATATTGGCGGTTGATGCCTGTTAGTCTTACATTGATAGCCTTGTACCTGCATTCATGAACTGTCAACAACTCGCGCTGATGCCTTTTTCCAAACCGCGGTTGCTATAGACTGGTCCGAAAGCTCCAACATTCAACCGCTGCTATTTCTGTTGGGCTGTGTTGGCTGCCGTTGCTGGTTCTGATTGCTGTGTAGCAAAGGAATACCAAGCCAAAAACACATGATTTCGGGAGACCTGGGAACGCGTCAGCCGGCATTTCCACTGGGAGCAAGCAGCTTCTGCATGGTTATTTGCAGCGAAACTCTCAGCAAAGCCTGGAACAGCAAGACCCGCGTTTGCAACCAAGCTTCCCCTGGCGGGCAGATGTGGCAGAAGGCGCAGCTGCTCCCACTCCGGCCTGAGTGAATGATAGATATGATAGGCTCTTATTCAGCGCCCTGTCAAAACTCGCCAGTCTCTGACAGTCTCGAGCTGTCAGAACAACCAAGTGTTCTTTGCTTGGTGAAACACAAGTGCAACTGGCCGGAAATGAGGCTGGTCGCTGACATCAGACTTGAATACGCCAGAACTGCTAGGCTACCCTGATTGTGCGCGCCAGGTGGCATCCTTTGGTGTGGAAGAATGCGCAGGGCTTGCAGTCTTCATGGTGCGCAGCTTGAACTCCAGTCTTCTCATGTAGGTAGCTGGAGAGTGCAAGGCGCAAGCAAGGTTCCTCACGCGGCGGAGGAGTTGCAAAAGCCTCCTGTGACGTGATCTCCGGCGCTGGGGCTGAAGGTGGCGGCGGAACCGCCCGCCACAGCCGTGGCTGCGTGGTTGGGGGTGGTGGGGTTCTCGGCAGCTCGGCAACCTGTGGCCGATAAGCCGGTGGGCTGAGGAAGAAAGGTTCAAGACAAGGGCGAGCTTCGGCTTCTGAGAGGACTGGGGAGCCCAGGTGCTCCAGGCCAGGGGGTGGGCTGATTCGACTGGGATTCAAAGGCCGAGTGGCGAGCATGTCGTCGCCTGCTACACTGACCAAGGACTCCGAAGAGCCGGGCGAACTCTCATCCGGGTAGCTGTGGCGCGTGGCGGGCACGGTGTGCGGATACCTTGGGGGTCGCTGGGTGACGTTGAGGATTTGCAGAATTCCGAATTCTGACGTCTTTACATCTTTGTCCCCAAACTTTCTGCAAGTTCTTGATCCTGCAGCCCATTTAGCCTCCCGAACAAGCCCGCGGACCCCGATAAACAAGCCCAGATTCAACTTCCCAAGGACCAAGATGCAGCCTTTTACGTCGCAGTGCCAAGGCACGGCGCGAAGAATGCCGTTGGAACAGGTGGAGAGCTGCTGCCTGCCCTGAACATCATCACAGGCATGCCGCCCCACGAAAGGCCTAAGACCCAGTCTACGTACATCCAGCAGGACCAATCGTGATCCAATTGATTTTCAATCAGACATGAGGCTTAAATGGTCTCGGAACACCGTGAAGCATCAATCGTGTACTTGGGTTCGCGGAATTACTTCTGATCTGCGCGAAGCCCATTTAGCTCAATGGCCGGGTGTCAGGCCAGGGCTAGAATGGACATCGAATCACCAGAAAAGTTTATTTCGTTTTGAACAGGTCTTGAGCCACCAGAAGCATATTTCCAAATACAGTTTGTTTGCTACGCCAAGGCCAGTCAACGGAGCTTGGCTCTGTAACTGGGATTGGGAGACAGCTTCAACAAGACTAAGGATACTTTCTGGTACCGCCTACCTATCTTGTTATCTATTTTTCTAGTTGTTGATTTGATGAGATACGCGCCATGCGTTGGTCTGGATGCCCCCAGGCTTATGCCATCACGTAATGCCGAAGCTTGAAATCTGGCTTCACGTCAACATGGCTGACACCGACTGACGAAAGCAAGGCACACACGGCCATAAAGCGGTGCCTTCCCTCGAGTGGCAACTCGTCATCGTGCTTAAAGTTGGAAGCCAACTCCGACACAACACGTGCTAAAAGCAGCCAGAGAAACACAGAGCACACATTGAAGTTCACGCACACGCCGGGAAGATAGAACAACATGTCAGCTATGACATTATCAGCTTAGTTGTGGCCTCGTCGAGGCCGGGCTCGCGGAAAAGCCCTTGCTTCCCAGACCTTCGGATGAATTGAAACAAGGCCCAGTAATTAAGAGGCCGAAACATTCCGACTGAGCATGGGCGAAGGGACGCCTCAAGCTCCAGGCTCAGACCTACGTATGTAAGGGCACGGAGGAGGCACGTGAACTTCGTGGTCTTTGTCTGGGGGATTTGCCCAGAAAAGTGGGGCATGCGGCCAAGGTTCGCATTGTCGGAGCGGCCGTGAACATCATCTCTGCTTGGCAAGGCTCTACAAGGACTCTACAAGATACAGAGACTGATGTCTGGCTGGTGCTTGAGTGAGACGAAGCGGCGGATGAACATCATCAGATTAAGACGGGAAACGCCCGTCGAGGTGGACTTGGAGGCAAAAGGAGCTCAAAGGTTTGGGCACCATCGTTCCTTGAAGCTTTGCTTTTGTCCAAACGCGGTCAACGGCTCTTGAAACCAACGCGAAACATCCTATTCAGAGTGTGGTTCGTGCCTCTTCTTTGGGCGACATGACCAACGAGAGCACACCCCAGCGGCAAACACTCCGTGCTTCAGCACATAACGAAACAACCTATCAATGCACTTGGTGCACAATCACCGCTTCCGAAACAATAGTCTTGCAAGCCACCGCCGGGCTGTGTGATAATCTTGCTGCTGGTTGCCCCCCTCCGTGCTGATTGTTTGATGTAGCCGGCAGCTACATTTGCTACTGTGCGCATGGTCGGCAACACACTCTACTCATGCGGATGGGGTGATGCAACTTCATGCCGCATCTGTGCAGCTGTCGCTAAAGCAGCATACACCTGATCCCAACTGCATCAAGCTAGCATTATCATCCGAAGCCAGCTGGGTTTGGTTTACCCGCGACAGTACTGAATCTGAAACACCCGAGGCCAGCTGTTGGAATCTGGGATTGGTACCTCGGCTTCACTCCGCTGTGCGCTTTCAAAGTGGCTGGCAAGCTTGCTGGCGAGCACTGTGGCATTCCTATGGTCGACCGTCTAGTTCCAGTACAGTATCAGTGTATCTGTGATCGGTGATGAGAAGTCCCGAAATCTGGCTGTAGGCACGAGCGCAGGTTGTAATGCCAGTGTTGAAGCCTCTAGTAGGGCCATGTACGGCTAATGCACTGCCACTACCAAGGTGCTTCCGCACAGCACCTGCCAGCAACAACCCAGGGCGACCGACACCATCCTCTCGCACAGGTCCTACAACATCATACTATTCTGCAAGGTTTGCTCCAAACTTGCTGCCCATCACAACCGCTATGGTAGTGAAGATTGATACAAGTGCCGGGCTTGCCTGTGATGCCATGCTTTCTGCGGTCTGAGGAAGCCCGATTGCTTCGGCTAGCACGAACCCTGCATTCCCTGGCCCAGCTAAATGCGAGAGGCCTGTCGGTGGCTGATGCCCTCGATGGGTTCACCGCGGTCGGGCGTGTAGGTACTGGATAGCTTCAACTGCGCTTTTTCAGAAGAGGGTGATGAAACGCACGCGCACACTCCTGTACCCAAGCCCTAATAACAGTCCTCTAAGCCTACGCGGCGCGCCACTCCTGATTGTAGCCACCACAAACAACCGCACGCTTCGAAAACTGCCGAAGTCCTCAGGCTCGTTTAGCCGTTTAGCCCCATGAAGGGTGATGAATCAGGAGTGGCGTGCCAGTGGATATGGGCGAAAGCCGCCCATGAGCCTGAAGAAGCGATCCTGAACATCAACCCTTTTGGTGCAACCGTACGGTTCTTATAACCAGAGCTGCAGCCTCAATGGCGGGACGTTTCTTGGCTTCAGACTTCTCCCCTAGTTTCTGACCAGATCATTGGGTCTCATTCATCTCACTCTCATCGCCCGTATGCGGTTTTAGCCTGGGCCAAGTCTTCACAGTCAGACTCAATGACTCACCTGGAAATACCTGCCTCGTTCTATGATTCTATCATCACCAGCCGAGGATGTGTTCCAAACTTGTAAGGGCAAGCAAATTGAGCCAAGGCACTCGGGCAACTGCCTGCTTCTCCTTCTGTCGACGCTTCTTCTCTCCCGGAAGGCAAAGGTGGCAAAATGTGCAATTCACTCCGCATTGACAACCCTTGGTGTGATGGAAGGCACAAGGCTTGCATAGGCCGGTGCCATGGGAAGCCGAGCCTAGGGACGGGAGGTCTCTGCTGCTCTCGGTGGCTGGTGTCCACATGTGCGAGGGCTGGTGCGGGACTGCCATGTATGGAGCGCACGCGTATGGTGCGCTCCCCTGCATGTGCAGCATGGGCTCAGGGGGCACGAACTCTGGTATTGGAAGCGCCTGATCCTGACACGCCTCCGGTGCTGGCATCACTGGCTCTGGCATGGGGGTTTCTGTATGCGTCCACATGCCCGGGAGTGGGAAGCTGAGGTTCGGCTGGCTGGGTGGGGCAGCGGCGCCGAGAGTAAGTGCGCTTTGCAACGGTCGCGCTGCGCTTCCCGGGGCATCCGACTGTCGCGGCGACAAGAAGTCATCGAAGGTTTGCGCAACTGGGGGAAAATCGAGAGAGAGCGTCAGCTCCGGGCAAATGGGTTCCACTGGATCTAGAGTGGACTTGGCCGGGAAAGGCCTGTCGTCACAAAGCTGGCTGACCCAAGCGGCCTCTGCCTCAAACCTCGGTTGCTCTCGGAATTCACTTAAATCCCAGACACAAGCTGTCAGAGCATGTTCCAAGCAGTAGCCCTTAAACTGTCCTCTTAAACTACGAAGCCCGGTTCCTTCAAAACAACCCTTTTTCCCCATTAGAACCCCCACCCCCACCCCCCCACCCACCCCCCCACCCACCCACTTCCGTGCCTTCCAAGAAGCAGGCAGGGAGCTTCGGCCCCCAGAGGGACTTGGGCTCGGGTCGCTTCGGCTCCGGCGGCTCCTGGCCCTGGGAAGCTTTGCCTCGGTCTCGGTCAGTACATGGGGGTTTCCGAACATAGGGGACCCTAATGTAGTACCCCAAATAGTAGGACCCTTATTCTAAGGACCCCAAAATAAGGTACCCCCTATTTTCGGAAACTCCCACATGGGTAGTTCTCTAAATTAGGGCCCCTTTTTTAGGTCCCCTATATAGTACGGCACCTTTAAAAAAAGGACCCCACTCGCACTCTCAATGCCAAGGCTGTGTCCCCAAGACTTGTTGGCGCTGCCGTTCGGCAACACCAACCGACCCCTTGTTGCGGCAGTGATAGGTTTCGTAACTATGGCTGCACTAATCCCTACCACTAGCAGCTAGCAGGAAATGATGCTCTTGCCATGGTGGTGTTCGAGGCTGAGATCTGCCCAGCAGCTGTGAGCTTCCGACAGAAGTGCTCGGAGAGCGTCCGGTGTCCTTCAAACGTTTGGTGACAAAGTGTGTGAGGTTCAATGGAAACACTAACTCCGTATTTGCCCCAAAACAAACCGCCAACCCAAAATCAAGACCCTGCACAAGCTCATGCATCCAACACATAAAAACACAAGGCTGTGTAAGCCATTGCAAGCCAAATCCCTGAACGTCACCCGAACCAATCCTAATCCAAACATTTCAGCAAACAGAACGTTCATCTAGCAGAAACCCTGCTTGAGGTAAACCTTCAACCCAAACCCGCCAACCCTGAATACCCCACAACAACTCCTGCTTCGTGCCGCTTTCCCGGAAATGTCTTGCTGTCGTCTTATCGGATCCTTCTCCAAAATTCGCGCCACTTTCCCGGAAAGCTTCTCATTCTTTTTTGATCATTCTACAAATTGGAGCCGCCCATTCGGAAAGCCTCTTCTTGTTGTCGTGTGAACGGATCATTCTCCAATCTTCGCCGAGCTTTCCAGATAAGCCATTTCATTGTCGTCTGGTCGGGTTCGCACCGCTTTCCCGGAAAGCGTCTTGTTCTCGTTTGACATGACCGGATCATTCCCAAGGCGTCGTGTCGTCTGATCGGAACATATCCGGAGATTTTGTTTTATTTTGCGCATACGCTGATTGCATATATGGTTTTTGAAATATGTTTATTTTCATATCGGCTTGCACTTTCCTTTATGTAGGGGATCGGTGGTAGATATCAAGGTCGAAGATAGATTTTGGGCCTCCCACCTAGCTAGGACAAGCCTGCATGAAAGTACAATAGAAATTGGCGTGTTCGCAACAAAGATAGATCTGTCCTGAGCTTCACTTGGTGGGTCGCCTTCCTCCGGGAACTTCTCGAGCGGAAGCTGCAAGGAGGCCATCCCGGGGACAGACTCGCATCCTACCCGCCCCAGAATCTACGAAGGAGCCCAAGATTGCCGCGGAACGTTCAGACTTCCAGGCTTGTGCAGGCGTCACACTCAGGGGGCTCCTTAGTTAGTGGATACCATTTCCATTTTCTAACCATGCACCACCCCCTAGGCCACCCGAAGACCCAAAACCATAACAACCTATGCCTCGCCCCTAAACCCACCGAAAGACCCATAGGAAAGACCCACCCGAAACCATAACAACCTATGCCTCAATCCTAAACTCACCAAAAATCCCAACCCAAATACCCATACCATGGAACCACCAGAAGAGACCATACACCACCACATAGAAAAACCCCAACCTTAACCCCATACACCACTACTCCCATAAAAAAACCCATATTCCCAACAAGAAATCCCTAACCCTAGAAAATGGAAATGGCCACCTCTAATAAAATATCTATAATAGGAATAAGGTTTAGGAATAAGGTAAAACCATAATAGAGTTATAATCTATAACAACTTAAGGATTATAACTACATTATACTTATGAATGCATTATCCTATATAGTGAAGCATATGAAGCCTTTTGGGTGTCTGCTGTTGTTGCTTTCGTTTCGGCAACATCAGCTGGAATTTCAATGATTATCCCCGCTTCCAGCTCTTCTTTCAATTGCAAATACTTGATGGCAAGAACACGCTTGTGCCAGTTCCTCTCCACGTCCTCAGCCGCCTCTTGTCCATCTGACGACTTCAAAATAACGTTTATCTTAGACTCCATTTGAAGGACATCCAGTGCAGCTTGTATGGCCCGCTCGACGCCACGTCCAGTCATTAACGGCTCGGACGACTCCGACATGGCACCCTCAGGCACCCTCAGTTTGTGCCTCCAACCCTGTTTGAATCGGAGTTCGTTTTTTGATGTGCATATCTCGCCTGTGTCTACATGAAACACAGCGTCTGCTCTGCATGTCAGATATATCCGAGCAGCAGCGGAATCTGAAAGATAGATTCACGGCCATGATGCCAACCGCATGACTCTGCACTTGCATCCTGCTCTGAATGAAGCCTTAAGCACTCTCAAGCACAGCAACAGTCTCAAACACAAAGCGGAGGCGGCACCTTGTGTTGTGGACGCTTCAGCCATGGTCATCGGCGGCACGATAAAATCGAGCGGTCAGGCTTTCTATTGGATGTACCTACAAGAATGTATGAGAGCTGCTGGAATGCCTGCTGGTGGGAGCTTCACGGTGGCAGTAAGGATACAGCCACGTATTCGGGGATGCGATATGCTGATGGAGTCTCTACTGAGATTTTGTATAGGGGTGATGGCATGGGTCTGCTAAAAGGCCAGAATAGGTCGCAGGTTGGGTCGATGGTGGGTTTTTGTACAAGGTTCTGGGTTTGGGTCTGTGATATGGCCTAGGGGGGTGTGCATGGTTAGAAAATGGGAATGGCAGCCACTAACTTCCTTATCATAATTATCGTATAATATACACCCCAAAACCATATTCTAATCCTTAAGGCTCTTATATTACAAGTAGTGGCCAGCCCAAAAGTCAGGACCCAAGCTCTCGAAGCACTCAAGCCACGGCGATTTTTGCTCTCGTCTGTTCGTGAAGCAATGGGTGGAAGGGCATGACCCGAAAACACGCCAGGACATTGGAGAGAGAAGAGCATGAAGCTTCCGGCTTCAAGACATGCACTTAGTTCTTGGGCCTGGGGCGTGACAGCTTCTTTCTACCCATGTCCTGACATGCAGTGTCCGGGATCCGAGCTACGAATCGATGATCGCCGGGCTGCTCCACTTGGGCAGGTGGCCCAACACCATTGAAAGCTGTAGGACAAATCCCTTAAGCCGCCTACAGAAGGACCAGGATCGGCCCCATTAATTCTTACCCACATGTCGGAGATGGCCCAACGATGGCAATCTAAGGCAGGCAGAAGTCCCAGACGGACTCGCAAGGAAGCCTCAAGGTTGTATGTTTGTCAACCCTTTTTGCATCTGGATTCCTCATCAAATCCTCGAACTCAGAAATCTTGAATCCCAAAGGGTGATGCTCGTGCTGGCTCTATCGCGGTCTTCTTCCGTGTTTAATCGCATACGGCACAACTATCATGACCAGGAGGCGTCAAGCACAATTACATAGGCTGCCCAACAACTTATCTAACAACATGCTGCCAGTTTGCCCAGGCTCAACATGTCTCAACAAGTTGTCTTGCTTCTGCCCCCTGTTCTGCTTCCTTACTTCTGCTACGTCGTGGTCAAGCGTTCTCCTTCTTGTTATTTTTGATGGTGCTGCGGCTGCTGTCGCATGTAATGACTTCACGGGAAAAGGCTGAGTGTCCAATCCAACTCCGATCCCTTGTCCGAAGATGTCCGAAGCCTGGGGATCTGCTCGTGGAACCGAAAAATCGACATGTGGCTTCCTGGCTTCAGTGCGTTTTCTAAGGCCGAGGACGAGGTTGCTCGCAGATGTCACGGGCACATGAGCCCGTGCGCTCTTCCACTTGAGATCTCTGTTCAAGCAAACTCGACCTCCCGGTTGATGCTAGGACAAGGCTCTCAGTGGCGCATGGCCCAGCACAAAATCTGGAAGCGAGAACGAACTACAAGCAGATGTAAATCCTCTCAAGCTTGGATTCTTGTGCTACTTTGCTCTGCTTTATCGGTATAATCCTGCCTCCTCACAGCCTCCCTTCTTCTAGCGCCCAGCTACCACTTCGGGTGACGAAGGGTACTTGGGCAGGTACACAGTCTTTACTCGTAACATTTCACAAGTTTACACAGTCTCCCCGTTCATAGAATATATCACTCAAACCAAAATAGGAGCAGGGCCCTTGCCTGGTTTACGGGGTGTGGATTGAAGGTGTTCTTCGCTTCCCTCTGATCTGATGGTAGGCGACGCAAGCTTCTCGGAAGCGGGGGTCTGCACAAGAGCCAGTCTTCAATGAACTCATACTGATCTAGGACCTAGGAATATGGGGGTTGCCGAAAATAGGGGACCCAAATAGAGTACCCTAAATAGTAGGATCCCTATTATAAGGACCCCAGAATAAGGTACCCCTAATTTTCAGAAACTCCCATATAGTAGCTTCAGAAACCTCCTGAACTCCGACCCGCTTTGCTTTTACATCTCAGCGGCAGGTGCGCAACTTCCGGGAAGCTTCAGTTCGGGAAGATCGCCCAGCAGTCGTTGGAACAGAGGCTAAGAGAAAGTTTAAAGGGCAGTGAGTCTGCTTTGATGAATGCTGAGGGCTGAGGTTGGACACATCATTGCTACGATATGGTACGACGACGATGCCTGTCACGGCTCTTCTTTGATGTCCTGTGCTTGAAGTCCAGGATCTACTGTAACGTACGGGTTCGTAGGATCTGACAGCCGGGATGTTCGCAAGAACTGCGGGCCGAGCCCCCACATGCAGCAGGGCGGGAGCGCATCGGGCCGAAACCATGTGGCTTTCGCAAGTGCCATGTCGAGCGATTGCAAGGGGAAAAGTGTTTCAATAGACTTCCAAGAATCGTTGGAAAGCTTAGTGAGATGTTGCGGGCATTAATCAAGAGGACCGTTCAGTCAAGCACTGTTCGTCAACACTGCTCTAATCCAAGTCGCCGTGTCCTCGTTTACGTTGCGTGATGCCGAGCACCACATCCTTGCTGTCGGAAGCTAGATGCTGGAATGAAGCTGGCGCAAGCGATGCTGCCCACATGGCTTTAAATCTCAGCCGCATGTGCCCATATGGCAAGTTGGCTCGTGCTTGGTAGGTTCGCGGATCCTGCAGCTCGCGATGATGTAGTCAACGTTGCAAGGCTAGAAAGAGCACGAATGATGCTGCGTGTATTGCTCATTTGGGATCTTGTCGCACAACCTCATTGTGGTTCGACTTGCAGAGAAACCCGCAAAGTTAAACCTTGAGGATCGTGGATCGCATACAAATCCTCTCACCACAAGCGATGAGCACCCCGTTCACCGACTTCTAGCTATCCGAAGCTTGAAACCGGCATGGTCCCCATGCCGATTCGGTTTGCGCAGGGACCCGCTACCTTGACGAGCAAGAAGGCATGCTATTCAAAGGGAGTGGACGTGCACTCAAAATGACAGCCTACAGCAACGACGTTAAACAAGCTCTGTCTTTGAATATTTTCATGATCCTTTAAGCTTTACATAATATCTCCAACCGGTCAACCCGATCTGCATGGCAGACCCATTCATTCGGAAGAGGTGCGTTGTTATGGATTGGCTCTGTAACTTGCCAAGCATGGACATCGCAGCTGGTCTTCTTGGGGCGCTGTTATCAGTCTAGGCGAACAGTCTTTGCATGCAGCAGTGTGTACCTTAAAGGGATTGTAAGGGGAAACAGTGCAGTCGAAGACTCCAGTGTGCAAAGGCCACGCTCATCACAATCCATATGATGAAAGGGAGGCGGGCACCTTTCAGCTTTCTACTGATAAGGTGTCAGCCAGCCGCAGCCACGCTGGACGCAACTCAGCCGCAAGCAGGCCCTCACCGGTTTCCAGCCAAACCACTTAGGGGTGGTGTGATAGAGCCATCCATGACGATCTGAGGCCTCCTGCTTTGCGCAGTTTCGCCGGGTCCTGGCCCTTGTCAGCCCATATCCATACTGTACAGCGCAAGCACCGATTTGTCATTCCATCCTTCCCAAAAGATCACAAGGTCCTGTGGTTGGAATCTGCTTCTCAGAAGTACCCAAGAAGGAAGGCCTTACACGGCGGAATGGCAGAATGGCTTCTCAGTAAGAGAGTGCACATAGAGTCATGGGCGGCCTAAACGATGCTTAGGCTTTGAGGGCTTCTTCAAACAGTTGCGCAGGGAGCAGAGTCTCTGGTAAAGGACTCTGCTCGCCTTGCTCGGCACCCTGCAGCGTGCCGAGCTTGGCCGCCATCTTAATGATCTTCGCTCGACGCTTCTTCTCACCCGGAGGGCAAAGGTGGCAGAAAGTACAATTCTTGCCACTCGAGCAGCCTTTCGTGTGGAAGAAAGCGCAGGGCTTGCAGGTGCCCAAGCCATGGCCCGCTGAGCCCAGGCTCACGCACATGCCCGTGAAGTCCACATAAGCGGGCAACCCCAGGGGTTCCCTGGGTTCCACGGAATCGGCTGGGGGATCCATGGGCTCGAATTGGAGCGATCCTGGGAGGACAGGTGGTGCGACCGGAGGGGGCGGTACCACTGCCTGCATCTTCGGGATGACAAAAGGCAGGGCTTCGTCCTCCAAGCCTGGGAGAAACTCCACTATGCTCGCCGGACAGGAGTTGGTAAGTCGCCCCTCGTCCAACATCGGCTCCAACCCAGGAGGAGCCCCGATTCGACTGGTTGGGCAAGAGCTGGAGGAGGCTGTGCCTGCCTGTGTGTTCGGTGTGGGGATGAAAGCGGGTTCACCGAAGTCGAGCTGCAACGTCGAGGGGTACTCGATGTCTGGCAATCCCGGCACACCTGACAGGCACTTGAGTCTTAGAGAGCAGCGGCTGCTGCACACCTACTGCCCTCTCCACCTTGAGGCAGCTTGGCCACCGTGCCGGGCGGAAGATCCTGATGGCAGTTTTGCGAGTTGGTGCACGAGATGGTGGATTTGAGCACATAGTTCACAGCATCCGGACTATGTACTAAGTACTAGTCAAGTTTGGCATCTACAAAAGTTACAAGAGACGTGGCCGTTAAGCTGCTGCTTTGTTGTTCATCCTTTTCTGTGCGTGTGGGTGGGTGTGACCTACCCTCCACCTACCACCCCCACCACCCACCCTAGCACCGTAGGGGTGGTGGTGGTGGTATGGGGCAGTGATAGGGGTGGTGGTGGTTGGGCTGAGGGACCACATCGAAGTTCAGACTCTCTGGACAGACCACCATCACCTTAGCACACGTCAGCGAGCAATATCGTTGCTGTTTCAAGAGACGGAGTGTGCATCCGTTACGCAGCCAACGTGGTCTGGAATAACCTCGAATGTTCATCAACCTCGAGATCCTGAGCAACCCGAAAAACAGGAGGCGCACCATGTAGTTGCGAGAGACGTCGAGGAGGGAAGGGTACTGGTTCTTTTCGGGCCTCAGCAGACTCTCGCGAAAATTCTGTCGACTTCGGTGGCCCTTTTACATAACCACTTCAAGATTTCTCCAGGCAGAGATTGCATGCACGATTGCCCTCGGTCATTCAAGTAGCCTGAGCGCAAATCCAGAACGGCCTAGATTCCGAGGTGTCAACTGCGGAGCTACACGAAGCAGCCGGATCTGAGCCGTGGGCGTCATGTCGCTTGTGGGGTTCTCCACTCGCGAGCTTCCAACGGATGTGCTCCTGGCATGAAGGCTAAAATACGAGGTGCATCGCCCGGTCGTTTCAGAACTGTTGCTGGTGATGTCTGCGATGCTGCAGGCATTCTAAGCATCAACATCAACACTCGAGCCCGGCTTGGAAGATAAACACTCTGACTGCGAACTGAAGCCCTGCAACGCTTCCACTCCCACCTTGGATGCTTTTTGCGGGCATCAGTGCTGGGTAGTGGCGTATCATGACATCCTATGAATCGGCCTGGATCGACACGCGGATGGGAACGGCAAGTGCGCAGACTTCGACGCCTTTGCCGAGGAAAGTTTGTGCCACTTTGTGCCTATACGCCTAGCTCACTTCCTGTGCACTGAAGTCTTTGGACTGGAGCCCTGGGCCCTGCAGCTGATTGTGGGGCCCTCAAATACCCTGTCAACAAACCACAGTCTATGGCACGCGTCAGCTGTTTGGTTTGAGCTTGCGCCTTGTTGCTCTTCCCCATGGCAGAATTCGTCCCCGAACGCCTTTTCGGCGCTACTTGTGAGCCGAAATTGTGGCTGTGCACGCCCAACAGATCCAACTGGTAACCCGCTACCTGATGTGCTCCTACGAAGTTCGAAGTGCGATTCGACGCAGCCTCTTATAGCGGATCATGTCGGGCTTCACATGATGTCACTCTCTCTACTAGTATCATAACTAACAATAACTAACAAAATCCCCAAAATTAGCGGTGTTATTAACAATGAAATCCATCATAGCAATACTACTATTCGGGCCGAGGGTCGAACTCGACCTTATTCATAATCATAATCGTAATAGTAACAATAATAACAACAATACTACTCATGAAAACCATTGCTACTATTCCTCTTGTTGTTATTGTTGTTAACCGTTATTGTTAGTAGAAATAGTCGTAGTAGTAGTAGTCGTCGTCGTCGTCGTCGTAGTGGTAGTAGCGGTAGTAGTGGTAGTGGTAGTAGTAGTAGCGGTAGTAGTAGTAGTAGTAGTAGTAGTAGTACTACTACTACTACTACTAGTAGTAGTAGTAGTAGTAGTAGGAGTCGTAGTCGTGGTCGTGGTCGTGGTCGTAATGGTAGTAGTAGTAGTAGTAGTAGTAGTAGTAGTAGCAGGAGTAGTAGTAGTAGTAGTAGTAGTAGTAGTAGTAGCACAGCAACAGCACCGCTTAAGAAATCACTGGTTTAAGAAATTGGGCCCCTCGGACAGCCGTGCGAAAAAAATATATACAGAAAAAATGCGCAAATTGAAAATAAGA